AAAAAAAAAAAAAAAGCACATCAATTACAATGTGTACACATACCAGAAATAAAGCATAAAACTGCTCATTAATAACACAATTCCCAAAGGGAAAAAACCCTTACAAAATACAGTAAGTCACACAAACCAGTATCTAATACAAATTCCTTCATGAACATAAGCTTTTTACAAAGATCTCTATGGTGGCAATAACCTCACAATAAAAGTAGGTAGTTTTTAAAAAAAACACTTAGGAAGAGTTTGCTTTTCTTGTTTTGAAGGAGATTGTTTGAATGACTATGTACAGGAAACAATTCTGTTGATTGTAAAGTTGCCGAGTTGCAGAAAATATTCATTTATTTTAATGGAGAATATTCTCTGTTGGCCTGATTCTCTCAGTGTTGTAAGTCTGGAGTTACTCCACTGAAGTGAATGGAGTTACACTGGTGTAAAATAGTGCTCAAGATCAGAATCTAGCCCAGAGAATCCATTTTATGTTGTGCAAGGTTAAAATCAATCAGCTGAAGTTTGGAAACAGCTATTGGTATCTAACACATTGTTTCAGTATTATTAAAGTTGAGACCTGAATGGACAAAACTCAAGACTTGTAAAGGGACACCAACAATGTGAAAACTATTAATTTAAGAAAAGTGAGTTCTAAGGCTCACTCACTCCTGAGTCCCTTTGCCAGCTTTTGTGATTTTTACGATCACATTCTTCTGTTTTCTAACTGTCTCACTCTCATTGCTGCATGATAGATCCACACAAATGAAAGGGGAAATTGACTCTACAGGAGAAACCGAGAAACTGACTACTACAAAGGCCTGGCCTACACTAAAAAGTTAGGTTGACCTAGCTAAGTCGCTCAGGGATCTGAAAAATCCGCATCCTTGAGCAATGTAGTTAAGTCGACCTAACCCACAATGTAGACAGTGCTAGGTCGACGGAAGAGTTCTTCCATCAACCTAGCTACTGCCTGTCAGGAAGGTAGATTAACTATTGCTGACAGGAGATCCCCTCCCGTCGATGCCGGTAGTGTCTACTCTGAAGCACTACAGCGGCACAGCTGCAGCACCGCAGTAGTATTTCAAGTTTAGAGAAGCCCAAAGTGCAGTCAACTCTAAAGTAAACAAACTGGAAAAAATGGTGAAATATTTTTTCTCTCGTCTTTCATTGATAGTAAGCACAAATGCTTCTTGTAGTACTATAGAAGTTAAAATATTACGGAGAAGTTTGATTTCTAAGTTGACTTTAAAGTCTGACATTCCAACCTTAATTCAGCCTGTTGTGCTGAGGTAGGCATCACACAGTGAACGATGAATAATAGAGCAGGCCTGATCCTTGGAAGTGCTAAGTGCCTCTATCACTATTCCTGTTTGTAACAAATGGTTCCCAAACTTCTGTAGACTTGATCCTGTGGTACCTTACGTATGTGTATCAGGTCCATGGACCTGCGATGCTGTGATGGGGGGGAAAGGAATAAGTAGCAAAAAACTTGTGCAAGGAGACTCTGTGTATTGTAGATATAACCTCGGGGGGGGGGGGGGGGGAAGGGTCTTTGCAAGGGAAGGCAGCTAGGGAAAAAAAGGAGGTACATTGCCCATGGAGGCATGGCCAGAATCAGTGTTACTTTTGGCTATATGATTTTTCTGGCCCTTACTAGCAAGTTGGGAAAGAGACTTCCATCTCACAGCTCCACTGTGTGTGTTCTCTCCCTTCCATGCAAGCTCAGCCCCTTTGCTCAGGCTAAGTACTATTTTTGCAAAAACCAATGCTGTATTTGTACCAGTATCTGAAAACGCTCTCTAATACCTCTTTGATGGAGCTCTTATTGTCCCAACTTCAACTAAAGTGCTTTGAATGCTGCTGCTACGGTATAATGAAACGCTATTTTTAGAAAACTAAAAGCTCCCTGGTTTAAAGTGAATTGAGAATTTAAAAAATATTGACTCCCTTTACTTGGAGTGCTACATTTCCCACCATGTGCAATACCACAGTACGACTTTAAAGGCTCTAGTATGGCTCTACAAACTGAATCACGTGCAGGGAAAAGGGGAGCATCTGAATACCGTTCACAGACGGGATGCTGCAGGCATTCTGCGTGGAGCAGGAGCAAGTCCAATGCCTGCAAGGGTGCTGAGGGGGAAGCATGCTTACCTGTGGCACTTGCTACACCTTTTCATTAGGTATAGTATGCCCTTCCCCCAGTGATGTTTTGTATTGACTGGTTGGCGTGCAATGAGGTGGGACATAGAGATGTCCCTGTCCTACTCAGGCAGGCCTCCTCTGAGAACTGGACTGCTGCAGGCAAGATTGGCTGGCTTCTGCTCTCCAGCACTGATGCCTCTGTGCTTTTCCTTATCTAATGCACTTCTGCAAGGCAGCCATAATTTGGCCCAAAGTGTCCAGTAATAATGTATCCCTTAGCTGTTCAGTAGAAAAAAGAAAAATGCACTCAGTGCAAAGAAGTTTTAACAGAAGACTTCATGTTACTCAGTAGACATGGAAAGTGTTCCTGCTATTGATGATGCTCTCAAATATGTGTGACTAAGTCATAGTCAGATCATTTGGTGTTGGTCGAAATAATATTAGCTATGCTGAATTAGTTTGGCACTAATGTGGCTGTGTTGAGTACTGTGATTCCAGAGGAATTCCTCTGTTTGGTTGTAGTCACCAGGTGCTCTGTATAAAACGAAGTCTTGCTGCATGACCTCATTTCACAGGAATGATTGATATAAAGCAGGGGAGACCAAACTGTGGTTCGCGAGCCGCATGTGGCTCTTTTACAGTTAAAATGCAGTTCACAGAGCCCTCCTTCCCCTGTTCTCCACCTACCAGACCGGGGGCGGGGAGTGGAGCTCAGGGCTTCTGCCCTGAGGCAGGGTGGTAAGGCTAGGGGCTTCTGCCCTGTGGAGAGGGGGGATCTCGGGGCTCCACCCCCATGGGAAGCATCTGCTGGGGCTCGAGGCTTCAGCCTTGCTCCTGCTGAAGCCCCAAGCCCCAGCAGGTGCGCCCGGCCCTCAAACTTCTGAAGATTATTGTATGTGGCTCGGAGGGTTAGTAAATGTGGCCACCCCGATATAAAATATACTGTATGTCTTCAAGTTAAATCCCTACCATAAAATATAGTCAGGCTATTGCAACACGCGGCGACTCGGTATCCCATTGCTGTTCTGGCTTGCAAAGCAATCCTCCCATTCCTGAGGGGGATAAATTATGAGACCAATCAATTGCTGAATAACTATCAGCCTGAGGGAATTGGATTATTGCCTTGTAAAACAGAGGGGTAGTGGTGTTATTGCTATTGTAATCGGAGGGATTTTTCTTTTCGTTTCCAATCAGGTTCAGGAAGGGGAGAGGTTGTCCTTTTTTTAATTGTTTTTAAATGTTTGTACCCTCCTCTGGAGGGCACGTACAGTTGAGGCCACTTGTTGTGCTCAGGAATTTGATGATATCATGCCAGTCTCATTGCTGTGAATAAAATGAACAGAATCAGGGACTGAAATGACTACTACCCTGCACTCTAATTGGATGAGGGGTCCCTTTGTGAAGTGTGATGTTGCGGGAACAGTGACTGGGAATGTCAGCATCTACCCTATTGTGACATAATGTTCACCAGAGAACTTTGGAATAACTCACATTCAGTATTCTGACACAGATTAGGCTCAAATGGCAATTGATGGATGGGGAGGCAAAGAAAGTTGATCTGCCAAAGGTTTGTCTTGTTGTCCATGTCTACCTTGGCTTGGATCTTGCAAGAGCAACTTGCATTTCACTGTATTGAGCTTTCCATCAAATACGATGTTTCCTTTCAAAATAATAATCTTGACCTAGAATTAAAATATTGCTTACAGACCGTTTTCTGAACTCTTACAACATTGTTTTTGTAAGTTGATAGGAGGTGATTGTCAGATGTCTTGACCAAACTCCATCTGGCGGTGTCATCTTTGTTTGTTTGTTTGTCTGTCATTCACTTGGATAGTTCGCTCTTGAAAGCTGCTCGCTGCATTCTAAACTTACCTCTCCCATCTTGAGGCACATCATTATAATTTTCTGAAAAATATAAAAATGTTTGCCTATAAGTGTCAAGAAGACAGTGTAATGGGAAATAGCTTAACTGTAAACCTATATTGTCTCATTGTTTATTTTAAAACAATCCCTTCTAAGTAGAGCTGAACAAATAATTGCTATTTTTAGTTTGGTGGTTGAACCAAAAAATCTGGGGGAGGGGGAGTTTTTGAACCAAAACTGAAATGAAAAACTGGAGGGGGGTGGGGGGAAAAAATGTTGAGGTTGATTTCAAAATGACATTTTCAAAACTATTTGATTAGTTCAGGTACCCTAGAAATGAACTTTTCAGTCAGTTTACTGTTTGCCCAATTTTTTTTTTTGCACAGCTCTTCTAAGGACCCTGATCTTGCAAATACTTTAGCACATGCTTAACTTATTCATTTAAGTAGTCCTATTGATGAGTTTGACTAATCAGCTGTGTAAGCGCTTGCTTGGTTGGAGTCTAAAACAGACACTAAAATTCATTTCCTTCCCAAATTTCTCCTCCTTCATTGTGGATGCTGATTGTCTTGTTGCCCAAGAACATGGCAAGGGACAGTAGCCTTTTATTATTGTTGTTGTTGAAGAGCATGACATATTTGTCTTGAAATGCGAAGGAAAAAATACATGTACAGTGAATTAATAGCAAGTTGAATAAAAAAAAAGCACTTTTTAAATAAAAAAAATTGGATTTTCTTTATACATTACACTTTCTTAATTTTGTAGTAAGTTTAGACCTTAACACATGTCAATCTATGAAATAATTTTAAATTAAATACCCGAAATAATATTAAGTGGTAAAATTTGGTAATAAATTTTAAACAACATCAAATCACAGAACTGGAGGAAGCTACTGACTAAGCATCGGGAACCAGAGTTTGACAGCTAAACCAACTTTTGACAGCAGTATCCTCTTCTGTAGGTGCAGAGAGAATTTCAGTTTATTAAACTAGTTCAGTTCAAAGACTACTTCATTCAAAATTAAGAAACCAGTTGGGAGTTGCAAAAGCAGGAGAGCTTGTTCTCCTCTTCCAGTGTATGAATAAAAGTTTAGGTGTGAAAGGATGAGATCTAAAATCTTGAAGGCGATAGTGACCATAAATAATTTACTAACTAAGAATAGTAAATTATTGGTTTAATAAATCAGTTAATTTTAAATGCAAAACACGTTGTGATAAACTTTTTTCTTTTCTATCCAGAACACTTAAGGTAGCTTTATTGAATTTTAAAAAAGTAAAATGCTGCTTTTTGCATTTTTAATTGAACTTAAATGTCAATCCAAACACAGCTTGACACACATCATAAGTAAAAGATTAGCCATCTAGTAAATAGAAAATGCTGAATGATGCATTTCTTAATATAATAAAAATGTAAAATTAAGAATCTGAATGAATGTAAGTCAAGCTATATAATTGATTAAATACATATGTATAGATGCACTGTTTCCTCCTGGTTAGCAAAAAGAAGCACCAAACCAGTGTAAAGGTTACATTTAATTGCAAGTCCATGTTTTAATAGTTACTGACCAATGCGGATCAACTTTGTTTAGGAAAATAATTAAAAAGTACAAATGCAAAACATACTTAAAATGGCTTATTTAAATAATTCTTCCTGCTTGCTGATTTTAAATCCTGATGAAAATCAGTGATTTAAACCATTTTGATTTAAATCAATCCACCTTGGCTACTACAGTTGATCTAGTAAGTATTAATGCTTGTAGAACACCCTGAAAACACAAAGTACTATGCACCTGTTCCTCCTGTGAGTTAACATCACTCATTGCTATTAGGGGGCAGGGATAGCTCAGTGGTTTGAGTATTGACCTGCTAAACCCAGGGCTGTGAATTCAACCCTTGAGGACGCCATTTAGGGAACTGGGGTAAAAATCTGTCTGGGGATTGGTCCTGCTTTGAGCAGGGGGTTGGACTAGATGACCTCCTGAGGTCCCTTCCAACCCTGATAGTCTATGATTCTATGATTGGAGCCACTGGGACTATATAAGTGCTAAATAAATCTTATTCTTATTGATGTTGTTAATACCTTATGTACAGGACACTGAATAGGAAACTAGTGTCCAATCCAGATACTCTGCCACTGACTCATTTTGTGACCTTGAGAAATCACTTCATGTTTCTAAACAGCTATTAGGATAGTTTACATAAGCACTGAGAGGGTTATTCAGTCTGACAATAACAAATGCTATAAATGTGCTAGGTCAGTGGGTCTCAAACTTTTCTACTGGTGACCCCTTTCACTGGCTGCAAAGTGGGGTTTGGGGTGGAGGCTGACAGCTCACGACACCCCCCCCCCGTAATGACCTTGCAACCCCCTGAGGGGTCCTGACTCCCAGTTTGAGAACCCCTGTGCTAGGTGTTATCAAGTATACAACCTTTGCAAATGACTATGGGCCTGATCCTGAGAGGTGCTGAGCATTTGCAAGTCAATGTTGTTGATTATTTACTACAGACATAAAGTAAGAGGAACAGTCTGCCCCAAAGAGCTAAATGGATAAAGAATAAAAAAAGGTAGAGGAGAAAGAGGTGAAGTGACTTGATCCAGGTCACACAATACATCAGTAGCAGAGCTTGGAGAAGAACCTGGACCTCCTGATTCCCAGCCCAGGGCCCTAGCTATTAGTCCATGCTGCCTAGGGGTTGTGAGTGATCAGTTCCTCTTAGGATGTGGCCAATGTCACACATTGCTCAGAACAGTGACATAGTATAACTACTTAGTCTAGATCAATACATAGGAAAATAATGTAGGTTGCATTTTGGGATAGCCCAAGCTTATAAATCTTCCAAGGAGCAAAATACACTTTATGGTAGTTTGCCATAGTGTATGTAGGCTGAGGCACAATATATATTGTTCTAACCGTAATAATACTCATTTACTTAATAACACAAGAATGGCCATACTGGGTCACACCAATGGTCAATCTAGCCTAGGATCCTGTCTTCTGACAGTGGCCGGTGCCAGATGCTTTTGAGGGAATGAACAGAACAGGGCAATTATCAAATGGTCCCAGTTTCTGGCAGTCAGATGTTTAGGGATACCCAGAGCAAGTGGTTGCATCCCTGACCATTCCAGCTAATAGCCATCGATGAACCTATCCTCCGTGGACTTATCTAATTCTTTTTATGAACCCAACTATATTTTTTGGCCTTCATAACATCCCCTGGCAATGGGTTCCACAGGTTGACTGTGTTGTGTGAAGAAGTACTTCCTTATGGTTGTTTTAAACTTGCTGACTATTAATTTCACTTGGTGACCGCTGGTTATTGTGGTGTTCACTTTCTCTACACCATTAATGATTTTATAGACTTTTTTATCATATCCTCTCTTAGTCGTCTCTCTTCTAAGATGAACAGTCCCAGTCTTCTTAATCTCACCTCATACAGAAACTGTTCCATATCCCTAATAATTTTTGTTGCCATTCTCTGTACTTTTTCTTCTTTGAGATGGGGCAACCAGAACTGTGCGCAGTATCCAAGGTGTGGGCGCACCATGGATTTATATAGTGGCATTATTATATTGTCTATCTTATTATCTATCCCTTTCCTAATGGTTCCTAATGTTCTTTAGCTTTTTGGACTTCTGCTGCACTTGGAGCGGATGTTTTCAGAGAATTATCCACAATGACTTCAACATCTTTCTTGAGTGGTAACAGCTAATTTAGACCCTTTATTTTGTATATATAGTTGGGATTATGTTTTCTAATGTGCATCACTTTGCATTTATCAACATTGAATTTCATTGCCCCTTTTATTGCCCAGTCACCCAGTTTTGTGAAATCCCTTTGTAACTCAGGCAAATCCAAAGCAGACTGCAATATCTTGAGTAGCTTTGTATCCTCTGCAAACTTTTCCACCTCACTGTTTTCCCCTTTTCCCAGATGATTTATGAATATATATACAGCACTGGTCCCAGTACAGCTCTCTGGGGACCCTGCTATTTACCTCTCTCCACTGTGAAAACTGACCATTTATTTCTACCCTTTGTTTCCTATCTTTTAACCAGTCACAGATCTATGAGAAAACCTTTCCTCTTATCCCATGACTGCTTATTTTGTTTGAGCCTTCAGTGAGGCACCTTGTCAAAGGCTTTATGAAGTCCACATACACTATACCCAGAGGATCACCCTTCTCAACATGCTTGTTGACATGCAACCTCAAAAATTGGAATAGATCGGTGAAGCATGATTTCCTTTTGCAAAATCTGTGTTGATTCTTCTCCAACAAATTGTGTTCATCTAGGTGTCTTATAATTCTGTTCTTTACTATAGTTTCAACCAATCTCCCTGGTACTGAAGCTAGGTTTACCAGCCTGTATTTACCAGGATAGCCTCTGGAGTGTTTTTTAAAAAAATTGGCATCACACCAGTTATTTGTATTTGGTACAGAGGCTGATTTAAGTGATAGGATACATATCACAGTTAGTAGTGCTGTAATTTCATATTCCGTCAGAGCTCTTGGGTGAACACAAGCTGGTTCTAGTAGCTTATTTCTGTTTAATTTATCAATTTGTTCCCAAACCACCTCTGTTGACACCTCATCTGGGACAGTTCCTCAGATTTGTCACCTAAAAAGAATGGCACAGATGTGGGAATCTCCTTCCCATTCTCTGCAGTGAAAACTGATGTAGAGTTTAGCTTCTCCACAATAACCTTGTGTTCCTTGAGTGCTCCTGTAGCACCTCGATCATCCAATGGCCACAGTTGCCAACTTTCACACGGTAAATAAGCATCCCAACGTTCACAAAAAGCTAAAAATCAAGCTAATCCCATTTCAAAACAAGCCAATCCCTAAGAACCCCAACACTCTGTGACTAGATCCCCCGGCGTGCAGTCTGGGACTGTGGTGGGCCCGCTGTGCACCCTGACTCTCTTCTCCCCCCCTCTTACCCCCGCTTGCTGGGTGCTGATTTAAAAAAAAAAAAAAACAAGCTACAAGCCCCAAAAGCTACAAGCCCAAAACTAGCCAACAACTCACAAGCCAATTAAGCCA